CTTTCTTTGATTCCTCTCTTCTCTTCTTCTTTTTTTTTTTTTTTTTGAAAATTGGCTCGGCATGGCCAGGTGGTTAGGGCACTCGACTCGCAATCTGAGGATCGCGGGTTAGAATTCCCGTCACACATGCTCGCCCTTTCAGCCGTGGAGGCTTTATAATGTGACGGTCAATCCCATTATTCGTTGGTAAAAGAGTAGCCCAAGAGTTGGCGGTGATGACTAACTGCCTTCCCTCTAGTTTTACACTGCTAAATTAGGGACGGCTAGCGCGGATAGCCCTCGTGTAGCTTTGCGCGAAATTCAAAACACACCAAACCAATCTTTTTTGAACATTGGTTAATGATTAAAGTCCATATTTGGATTTCTAACGCTTAATAGCTAGAAACTTGTAGACATCAAACAGCAAAACCAAGTATTTATCTATGTATTAATATATTAATCAATGTATGGATTTAAGTACTATTCTGATCTTCCATAAGTCTGAAGGGTTATAATACAAAAAATGCGGTTTTACTATTTGTATTTGTATAGATGTATATAATTTTTTAATCATATATTTCTATGCATTTGTATTTTACTCACTCTTAGGTGGATTTGCTCTTATTGTATATTGAAATTTTTAACATTATTTTTTCTATTTTATTTATAAACGTTTGGTCCCAATTTTCAACAATAGTTTTTAGTCTTCAGGTGTTTTACTCTACTAACTAATTGACAGTTAAACACAGAAGAAACTTCACAAGAGGTGAGGATCTCACAGGGTGAATAAGTGCAGTATTGTGAACAGCTTTACGGCAGAAATGTTTTTAAGCAAGTAAACCTGCAACGTTTCCGCCGATAGAACCTGGTCACCTACTGAAAATGTATGATTAAAAAAATGGCCAAGTAGAGCATCCTTTTATGTCTTGACCACACCTCGACGTCTAGCCCTTGGCATTAACAAATCGGAAGGGTTATTACTAGCGTGGGAGTTAATTAGTCTTGTGGTAGACCTCTCGATTTCTGAGCCTGGCAAGTTTGGTTCGAATTTGTGTGGTACCACAAAATAATCCCTGCATTAGAAGTTGTAGGTGCATTATAAGAGTGAGAGTCAATCCCTTAGCATGGGTGTTAGGGTGCTGCTGACCGGTTGCTTTCCCTTTGGTCAGTAGTTCAAAATCAGGGGTAGATAGCCTTAGTAGCTTTGCCATAAATACAACTTTTCATTATGTGCAGCCCCCACAGTGACACAGCGGTATGTCTGCGGACTTACAACGCTAGAATCCGGGTTTCGATACCCGTGGTTGGCAGAGCACAGATAGCCCATTGTGTAGCATTGTGCTTAATTACAAACAAACAAACATTACGTGCTATATCACTGGCAAAAATATATCCATCCCGTCCTGCATTTTTCATAACATTTCCGTCTTGCTGTGCAGTGCTACCCAGACAATAAGTCAAAAATGCTTACCGATGTTTCTTTTACTCAGTAAACAATTGGATCACACAGTTCTTTATCCCAGAAAATGATGGAATCATACACTCATGTGAGTAGTCTAATTTCGTGAGCATCTGTCCATCTGAAAGTTTGTAGAACTTATCAGCCACACCACAACAAAAAACACTTTGATTTCCTCTTTATAAAGACCAATATTCTCTACATTACACAGAGTACCATGCTTTGACGCCTAGCTTATCCAAGTGCAAACTCCCCTGTATTTTCAAAGTTCGAAATGTCAATTATGCTAACAAATCAATCATTCTGCTTGATGTGACAGGGTTGGATTCCATATTTCTCGTACTTGCTTATGCATTTCTTCTATCTATTATTTTAAGCCACTAGTATACCTTCGAACAAAATAGACGCATATTTATATAGAAAGTGCTTGAAGTGGGGAAAAAGAGGAAGCGAGATGGTTTGTTTGTAGTTAAGCACAAATCTACAGAATGGACTATTTGTGTTCTGCCTATCATGGGTATCGAAACCCGGTTTATAGTGGTATACGTCCGCAGAAATACCGCTGTGCCAATGGGGGGCGAAGCAGGATGGTTTGTGAAATCATTGAAGATGAGTACTACATTTCTTATGTTTCATTTGTATTCTTTATATTGTATAAGTGACTAAAATGTAAATTGTATATATTATTAGGTTAGATTGGTAAGATAATGAAAAATAATAATGATAATAATTTTTCACGACCAGCTCGTGCGTTATGTAATTTGATACTATAACATAAGCTGCACATTCGCTGAGTAATTTATAACTTGTGTGGCGGGACAATTAGTTAGACATGGTTTGAAGGGTAATAAAAGAATTAAGTATAAACAGATGTATACTATTACGAGTTATAGTATGGAAACTCTGTAGATTACTTTGTATTTACGAAGTCGGTCACACCCACCGAGCCTCTAGCGAGATGGCCCATTTGCTCCATCGTGTGCTACTTTGTCTCATTCCTGCCCAGCTCTTACACGACATTTCGACAAATAATATAGTTCTCAACAGTTCCTTGCCGCCGTAACTATTTATTGCATTTTCTGTTTAACTTTTTCTCTCTGAAAAATTTTTCAGTCTACTAAAAGGTCGTTGGTTTCGGGTCCTCCTGAAAAGAAGTGGGATGGCATCCTGCCTCACTTCAAGCACTGTATATAGACCAAAAAGACCGATGACCGAAACCGTAATTGTTATTTTTAAACTGATTTCATTATAAAAGGTGGTTTACTCTCAGGAAACACACCCTCTAATATTCTTATTCTTCACTGGGGAAAAAATATGTAATGCGCAATAATCATGTTTTCCAAGTCGAACAAATATGAATGCATATTCTCGCGAACTGGCTGTTAACAGCAATAATTGTCTTTATTTGATTTCTCAGCATTTTGCTATATATTTATCGAGACATCTATATTTTGGTGTTTTTGAAGTGAAGACTAGATCAGTGAACTATCAATTAGCAATGTTATCTAAGCAGTTTTAAAACCTGATTACACTGTTTCCACTTTTAGATATAAAAAAAGAAAAACCCCAAACAGGTTCTCTATATCAGATCCGGAGAAATCCGGCATATGTTAAGCGTCGCTTAAGTGGGGTTCGGTTGAATCATTATTCTAAAAATAACAGAAAATGGGTTTATAAACTGAGTGTCAACTTCTTACATGAACAGCAGCAGAAAAATTTATATTGGTCTTCAAATTTCACAAGTATCGTGATTGGATTGATTTTTTTTTATATATTCCTCTTCAATTTGTTTGAATATCGAATGTTACATCACCCATTATAGTACACTGCTGTTCAGAAACTGGATATTGTTCACAAAACGTGTATATATAGCAACAGAGATGTTAGTCGCATTGTTGTTCAAAAACTGGCTATTGTTCACAAAATGTATACATGTATCAGCAGAGATCTTAGTCGCATTGTTGTTCAAAAACTGGCTATTGTTCACAAAATGTGTACATATAGCAGCAGAGATGTTAGCCGCATTGTTGTTCAAAAACTGGCCATTGTTCACAAAATGTGTACATATAGCAGCAGAGATGTTAGTCGCATTGTTGTTCAAAAACTGGCCATTGTTCACAAAATGTGTACATATAGCAGCAGAGATGTTAGTCGCATTGTTGTTCAAAAACTGGCCATTGTTCACAAAATGTGTACATATAGCAGCAGAGATGTT